GCTGACAAGAGATCTCCAGGTTTAGCAAACTGTTTTAATTTTTTGTATTTATTTTTTTTGCGTGAGAACAACATAGAGAATGACAAAGGATCTACAGCTTTTACAATTTTAGATATACCGCAAGCAAAAATGCTTAAACAGCGATTTTTATTTATTTTGCATTTGGGCAGGGGAGTGTCCATTTAATGTATTTATATATATTGTGAATCTGTTGTACAATGCAGCTGAAATTGTTGGTGCTTTTTAAATAATATTGTGGTGGGGGGCGGGAGGGGAGTAAATGTGATAAACGCATGTGGTTTTCATATAACATTGCATTTATTTCATTCTAATGCAGCGTTTTCCAATTGGTGTTCCGCGGAACCCTAGGGTTCTGCGAGAACAAAACTGGGGTACTGCCTTGATTCACCACATCAAAGATGGCCACTGCTCCCTGCTGTCCCAGGACAGTCAGAAACAATTTAAATATTTTTTTGTAAAAGTGTATGGGGTACAGAAAAGAAATGGGAAAATTGAATTTATAAAGCAGGTATTACTTTGTCGACCTAATTGACCGGTGTTGGGTACATTCATAACATCGTCATTCGTTTTGTAGTACGTCAATAAGTTAAACACATAATATAGAGCGCAGTACAATAAACAAAATGGTAACCCATAGTATAATGTGCCTTTAGGGCAACATATAATATGCAACAGGCTGTGGTACATATTAGAACTCGCCTTTTACAATTTTTATTAATACACAGGTTACAACAACTTTGGTGACGTCAAAGCGTGTATTAAGTAGCATCGTAGTTGTTCAACAGCACTTTACAACTTTAGACAGTAACAACAAATCGATATTGCATTCTATTGTTCAATTTGGGTAATTGTACACATATTCATATATTATGTAGGCATACATTACATACATATATGTTAAATAGATTTATTCCCATGTCTCAGGAGTTGGCCTCTCCCTACCCATGTATTCTTTATTATGCTATTACATCTTATGTAACATATATGGGGTATGTTGTGCTGTGGATCTGGAGAATTGTGGTGACTGTGTGGCAGAGACGAACCAGTTTTCATGAACATTGGCCAAACAGTACCTGCTTGTCTGTATTGAAACCTATAACATATGATGTTGGGGAAAAAAACTATTTACAATGTGGGTAGCTCTCATGTGCGACACCGCCTCCCATCCAGGAATGTCGAATTTGTAGATGTGAACCTTCAAGCCATTTACCAAACATGTATAGTACAGGAGGGACACCATCTGTGATTGATTGTGAATCAATGGCCATTTTTATAAAAAGGGATATCTACTAAACTGATATAGTGCTCTGACTATTTTATTTTTTATTTTTAAAGGGCGCTTGTTTTTAATGTTATGTTAGTGCAGTTATATAGTATTTTAACTATATTTTATTTTGACTGTAACAACAGATATACACAATTTTATATGGCCTAAGCTGTAAAGCATATTTAGCTAGCTATATAGAAAGATGGATAAGTGGGTTTTTAGGAACTTGTATCTTCAAGTACTCGAGAACTAAGACACTAAAGCATCCTATCATAGTGGACCAAAGAAGCCTCACTAGCCAATCCATTATATTTAGGATTTATCAAATACCGTCACAATCCAGTTCAGGTGCAGACAGGACACACATTGCAATGGTGGAGGAGCAAACATATATCATAGTGTTCTGTTATAAAGAGTGGTTGAAAGAACTAGAATTGGGGCAATCATCATGAAACCACTGGAACCAGCAGGCATATTCTAATGGTGACTCTTCCCTTTTTACATTTTTGTACCACTGTTTAGAACAGACACTTTGATAAATCTCTCACATGTAGGGTTGCCACTTAACTGGTATTTTACTAGCACAGCCGGTATTTAAGGTTGTATGGCCAGTGCCGATATTGCAGAAATGCCAGCAATGCAAAGGCAGCTATTTTTTTCTGTGCTGTGCTCTGTTCTCAGGTGATGTGGATCCAGTGGGGGAGCAGCAAGAGAAGTGCACCCTGACCATTCAGGTATCCATACTAGGTACCTGTGTTTATTTTACTGTAAATGCATGTAATACTTTATTGCTGATTTGCTATACATCCTGAGGGGAAAATGTATTCACATACGATTCTTCTGCTTGACTCCTGCTGTCCATCCTCCTGCTGTCCTGACTGGCTTCTCCTTCCCACCCTCCTGATATATCTTGTCTGGCTTCTCCTTCCCTGTTCTCCGGCTGCCCTGCCTTGCCCCTCCTTCCATATCCACCGGCTGCCCGACCTTGCCCCTCCTTCCATATCCACCGGCTGCCCTGCCTTGCCCCTCCTTTCCCATCCTCCTGCTGTACTGCCTGGTTTCTCCTTCTGGATCCTCCTGGTATTGTGACTGGCTCCTCCTTCACATCCATCTGCTCTACTGCCATGCTCCTTCTTTCCATCCTCCTGATATCCTGCCTGGCTCCTTTTTCTCCATCCTCCTGCTTTCCTGCTGTACTTTGGATTGCCCCACTGTTCAGCCAGAGGAGTTGCTTCTAATTATTCAAGAGGGCACCCCTGAGGAGTAACAAAATGAGATGAAGAATAATCAGCCAGGAACACATGCAAGTCTGAGCAGTGACCATGAAGAGCAGCTATTGTCAGAAGAAAAAGAACTTCCTGCTGAGGCTGATATAGTTCGAAAGAAAAGTCAAGACCTTCCAGTACCTGTACTCCAAGAGAAGACAAATATTAAAACAAAGGTAGAAAGGATACAATATGACAGGGATTCTTTACTTAAATATAAATCTTTTACACAGGAGCCAAGGGACTTGTCTGAAATTGCTAAACTCTACCAAGGTATGCTCATTAGACCTCACCTTCGACCAGTGGATCCATCACGATTTACCAGCAGGAAATGTACACCTCTAACTGGAAATTTATTCCATCCAGATAAGGATAGTTACAGACTGCCACGTGGAATGGGCCAAATTAGGTCTCAGCAGGGTCCTGGTAAGGAACCTCGCAAAATCCTTCATGTAACTGAGAATGTAAAACAGCATACATCTGAAAAGGCTTGGAAACCTCTGATGAAAAGGACAAACGAAGATCCCACTATGGCCAAGGCTCGAGAATTGGTTCGCAAAGTTCGCAGTATTCTAAATAAAATCACACCTCAGACATTCCAGCACCTAATCAAGCAAGTGAAAGAACTCTCTATAGACACAGAGTATCAACTAAAAAGTGTTGTAGAAGTCATATTTGAAAAAGCAGTAGCAGAGCCACATTTTGCTGTTGTATACGCCAGCATGTGCAACTGGCTAATGATGCTTGAGGTCCCAACAGAAGTCAACCCTGAAGAAAGCATTACATTCCGTAGGCTGCTAATAAGACTCTGCCAGAAGGAATTTGAGAGAGGTGAAAATGGGAATGAAAGAACTGAGAAACTGCAAAAGGAACTGGATGCTGCCACGTCACCGAGAGAAAAGACTAGACTAAAAGAGGAATTGAGTGATGCTTGTAATAAAGCATGCAGGCGATACCAAGGGAATATCAAATTTATTGGGGAGCTATTTAAGTTAAAATTTCTCTCTGAAGACACCATGAAAGACTGCCTTATGAAACTACTAAACAGGAACAGCGAGGAGTCCATGGAATGCATCTGCCTTTTGCTCACCACAATTGGAAAATGCTTGGACAACTATATCAGCAAGATTGACATCTTTATTAAAAACCAGAAAACCTCTTCGTGGATTCTTTGGTGCAGGATGTGATGGAATTAAGAAGAAATAACTGGGTACCTCAACATAAACCTCAGGGACCGAAAACAATAGATCAAATCCATAAAGAGGTGGAACTGGAATCTAGATGAAAAGACCAGTGAAAAAAAATAAAAAAGACTACTCCTTGCAAGGACACATGGATAAACACAACGTATGAACAGGGACGAGGCTGCAGATTCATTCACATAAATACATTCAAAATCATTCAGGCAGCAACACCAACTTTTATGCATGAAGAAACACATATGCACAAGCACAAACATTTTTCAAAGACAAATTCAGACAATTCTGCAAAGTCAAACACAAACAGTCATACACTGCCTATCGGCAGCTTTAACACTTGAGCAAACAAAATATTTATTTAGATACAAAGGCAATCCCATGTTATGAAATAAACACATTAATGGTGGCATAAAAACATGATTTAGAATTGCACTTGGTAGTTTCATCATTGCCAAATAAAATACATAGTGAAACTCACATTAACAACATGCATGGTTCACTGGCCTTCACACTTGTCAGAACCACTATTGTTTTCCTACACACATATTTTGTATATTGTTAATTTTATTAAAACAATAAAGTATATATTTTTGAAATTTATCCTGTTATACTGATGTCGGTTTGTTCTCTGTAGTGTTTTATTTCCAAGGCCATTGCTGGGTTTCAAATATAACTATAGATTCAGTCCATACTATATCTCACAGAGACCTTCCTAAGGCCTCATCCCTTGGTTTCTCTGTTGCTGTATAGTACACACTCCGTTAAAGCAATCCTCCAAGCACCAGCAGTTTGCAGTGGTTATAGTGCCCTACTGCCCTCACAGGATAAGTAGTCAAACGTTTTGTGACAGGGAACATCCATTTGTGGCCCAGAATCTCCTGCATTAAACTAAACCAGTGGTCCAGGGCTCAGCTCATTGGTTGAGAGAGCTCAGCTGACTCCCTCAGCCAGCAGGCTTAAGAAAGTGGAGTTAATGGAAGCTCCTTCTTTGACTACTTAAACTGGGTGTGCAAGGGCACTCCTAGTACCCTAACTACTGCAGCAGACTGGTTAAGGTGTCGCAAATATTCCTTTAAACCCTTTCAGGGCTGGAGTAGAAATAGTGAATTGTTGTGGACTAAACTAATGCACGGCATATCTCAGTCAGTGAAAGGGTTAAGCTGTGCCGGCTGTTGATCTATGTCTCCTTTGCTGTAGTCTATTGGACATTAATATTAGGGAGTTAAATTATTCATTTAATGTTGTTAAAACCAAGGCACATATTTGATGAACATTTTCCGGGTCATTCACTACAGTATGGCTTTAAAGTAAATTTCAATTTAAGGACAAAATAGTCAAATTGGAAGCATTGCTGTCTTGGGGAATGTTTCCATTTCTGCTTTTTGGCCCCAAATGTGAATTTCTCTTTGAATTCCCAGTAATTCTCACTTTAGTGCATAAATCTGAAAGAATCCATACTCACTGGCAGACTGAGAACCATCTGTGTTTTATGTAATTACTATCACAGCAAGTTGCCCCACGTGTATTTGGAGAAACAATGAAAATCATAAATGTTTCAGGTGAAATCCCCTTTAATTATGTGCAAAGCCATTATTCTACTTTCATAAAGAATTATCAGAAAACATTTATGTTGCATATTGCTACTCCAAATAAACGTGGAGTGAAACAATTGCATCCTTAAAGGACCACTATAGGCACCCAGACCACTTCAGCTTAATGAAGTGGTCTGGGTGCCAGGTCCATCTAGTGTTAACCCTGCAGCTGTAAACATAGAAGTTTCAGAGAAACTGCTATGTTTACACTGAGAGTTAATCCAGCCTCTAGTAGCTGTCTCATTGACAGCTGCTAGAGGAGCTTCCGCAATTCTCACTGTGAAAATCACAGTGAGAAGATGCTGTACATCCATAGTCCATGGACTGATTGAATGCGCATTCGGCAGATGACGTTGGAAGAGGGACGTCCTCAGCGCCGAGGGAGCACGGCGCTGGAAAAAGGTAAGTGTTTAACCCTTCCTCCCCCTTTAGCCCGGTGGGAGTGGGACCCTGAGGGTTGGGTGGACTTGTTAACACTATCGAGCCAGGAAAACAAGTTTGTTTTCCTGGCACTATAGTGGTCCTTTAATATGCTATTTGCACTTTTAGCTATTTGTCCTGGATTCATACTGTAAATCGCATTGTAAGAACCAAACAGTGATACTGCTAATGGCTATATTTGGCAGCATAGGGGCAATCGTATCTTTCAGGTACCACATTCACCTGCTATATTTTTAATTTTTAATTAACGTGTCTAGTGAATTATAATTTTTAAGTTAAATATTTGCAAAACTTTACATGAGTGAACTATATGTTTAACATCAATCACCAAATTCAATAGTGCTATACAAAGTAAATAAATGTAAAAGTTAGAGCCGCCCATCAGGGAATTTAACTAAGAGCATTTTGACACTTTTCATTGCCTCCCTAACCCAAGCTAAGCATCAGAGTGGGGGGAATAAACTACAGTTTATTTTTCTACCCTACTAAATGAATGAAAAGTGTATCAATAATCTCTGCCAGAACTGCGTATTACATAGTTAGCCCTTTGTGCTTTCCACAGAGACATTTCAATTCAAGGGTAATTTCACAGACCTACCATGTGCCATTACAGTAGATATTGTAGCTTTTTATTTATAGGAAGTTATATTAGTCGTGTCATTTTCACTGTTGCAATTTTGACAATTTATTTTATTGGACCCACGTGATTTTTTTCGAAAAAATTGCATTCCCGAACAGTACTTTATTCCCATTGTGGCATTTTGTTTGCAAAATAAGACAAACTGCTCGATTTCATGTGAGTCTTTTTGAAGGCTTTTTATTTCATCACCAATTTCTTTTTATTTTATTTTTGTTTATTTGTAAAAAAAAAAAAAAAATTATTTTGGTGTGCAAGATTAAAATAGAAATGGCAATACACATACATATAATTTAGCAATCAAAACCACTGATAACAATTTATCAACATTTACAAGGCGACATTGAGAGCATATATAAATGATAACCACAATGCAGTCAGGAAGCTTGCACGATGGTAAACTAAGGTATATGTAGGGTCAGTGTTAAACAGGGTACTGCACATTATGAGCTATACTACCAGGAACAGAGTTGATCCTCGGTGGGTGTATGGATTAGGTTCTACTCTCAAATTATGCTCCACATTTGGCGCCAGAGACCACCAGGAATCAGGATTCCTGCCTCCCTAACCCAAGCTAAGCATCAGAGTGGGGGGAATAAACTACAGTTTATTTTTCTACCCTACTAAAGCCCCATAACCTCAAATTGCAGCTCCTAACTCCTACTACAGCCCCTAACATTCTTACAACAGCCTCCAAACATGATAGGTAATACCATGGGTAAACAAATATGCAAACATGATAGGTAATACCATGGGTAAACTTTTTGAATTTTTAACAGCAAATAGACTGGTTCGCATTATTGTTCAAGAGTGTCAGGCCGCCATGCGTACCATCCATCGAGGAACCAGATGACGTCCACAACTTTAATACAATGTATCATGCGCCCCCATTCTGACACCGCCAGACGAGTCTAAGTCACTATCTGATGTAGAGCTGGAGCTATTCAAAGATTTTGACTGGGTTTCCGATAGGATTTAAAGCTGGAGACAGACATGGGTGGACTTCGCTGGAATCATCATATTAGCATTGTCATTGTTATTTACTCCAATAAAAGTATTATTATTTCCAATTGATTCAGTATAAAAGTGTGGATAATGTGCATAATAGATGGCATGAAGATCAATTGGTTAATAGAAATAAAGATACAGAAAAAAAGAGTTAGAAAGAAAAGAGAAAAAAATCTGCAAATGTCAAAAGGGAATATACCTTCCTGGAAAGGGTGTTTGTATGAGTGTCATACATTGGGAACAGTGATCAAAAAGTGGATCAGTTTCACTATATAATGAAAAGAAGAGTAACACTGCCCTAAATATATTACATTTAAAACGTAACTTTTATTTAGAAAGGTCTATAGAATAAAAGTGAAATATACAAAGAAAGTGAAATAAATAAATAAATAAATGTTGGTTATAAAAACCCTCAGTCTCCCACAAAGAGATTTGTAGGAAAATATACAGACAAATGATCGTGCTTACTGGCACAAAGTCTCAGTTAGCATAAAATGTATTATAACTATGTAGTTATGATTGAAAGTTTAACTAGAAAATGTCAGCTGGATACACATTAGTGTTGCAAAATGTGATAATGTATCAATTCGTTTTGTCTCGATCACTTGCTGAATTTAGTATAAACGGACATAAGTTTAAATTGCTTTGCTCGATCTGAATATTGGTTTATCTATAATCGATTATTAAGTCTGAGCCTTAGTCCGTCCAAATTTGAACGTTTATACAGGAGATATAAAATGAAACAAATTCGTAGAATAAGTCTAAATTACTTTGCTCGGTCTAAATATTGGTTTATCTGCAATCGATTATTAGGTCTGAGCCTTAGTCCGTTTAATTTTAAACGTATATATAGGAGATATAAAAAATAATAAATAATGAAATGAGTCCGTAGAAAATCCTTATCAATCTGACTCGCTCATATTCATTCAGAAGATCTAAAATAAAAAAGGTCTATAAAAAGATCCTGGTCAGTCTGGCTGGTTAGCTAACGTGTATAATTCGCTGAGTATGATTTACACAAGATACAGAATGTATATTGTTGCACAAAATACAGAAAGTTAAATGTTGTTGCTCTGTATAGTGAAACAAATCTTATTGTGCCTTTGAAAGCACCTGCTTCTGAATAAAAAACTGTGCTGTTAGTCAGACTGCAAGTAGATAGCTAGTAGATGCCCTAATAAATGAAAGAATTTAAGTCACGGCTAGAGCAGATCTCTATCACCCAAAATATTTAACAAATCGTTCAGATCACAACTTTAATACAATGTACACATCATGCACCCCCATTCTGACACCGCCAGACAAGTCTAAGTCACTATCTGATGTAGAGCTGGAGCTATTCAAAGATTTTGACTGGGTTTCTGATAGGATTTAAAGCTGGAGACAGAGATGGATGGACTTCGCTGGAATCATCATATTAGCATTGTCATTGTTATTTACTCCAATAAAAGTATTATTATTTCCAATTGATTCAGTATAAACGTGTGGATAATGTGCATAATAGATGGCATGAAGATCAATTGGTTAATAGAAATAAAGATACAGAAAAAAAGAGTTAGAAAGAAAAGAGAAAAAAAATCTGCAAATGTCAAAAGGGAATATACCTTCCTGGAAAGGGTGTTTGTATGAGAGTCATACATTGGGAACAGTGATCAAAAAGTGGATCAGTTTCACTATACACTGATCAGCCACAGCAATTAAACCACTGACCGGTGAAGTGAATA